TAGGGGTTGATGGGGTGAGAGCCCACGCTGGTTAAGAAGCCTGGAAGCGAGCATGTGGCTGGGGCAGTGATGCATTTCGACTCAGGGCCTTCACAGGGGAGGTCTCTGAAATCAGATCCCTCGCCTTGGAGGAAGCACATAGAGGTGTGGGAGGTGAGAGAAGGGCGAACGCAGACCTCATTTCAAAGGGGAAGATGCGGCCTCTGTGAAACAGACTGCGCGAGACACCTATGTCGGGGAATGTCTGGAGGCTCCGTGAGCTCTGAGCACAGGCAGCGGTGAGGACCGGCAGCCGTGAGGACGGAGGTCAGAATCTGATGCAGACCAAGCTCTGGGGCGTGTGTTCATTTCTTACAGACTCAGAGATCAAGGGACTACCGTGGAAGCAGTGTGCTGGGTTTTAGCAAGTACTTGACAAATCATTACAGCTTTGAGGAAAAGATAGGAAAATGGCCTGAACCTTATATTAGGTAGATTTATAAATACTTTATTTCATTATCCTAAAATGTACTTTTTTGGGTTTTTTTTGCATTTTAGGATCTGATCTGAAATCAAATGTGTCTTATCATTGCTCCCAGCCAGGCCCATCATTGATACAGCTGTCACTGTCTGGAGACAAGACAGATTCTCTTTTTTTTCTTTAAGCAATTAAAAAATAAATTCAGGGGTTGGCCCCGTGGCTGAGCAGTTAAGTTCGTGCACTCCGCTTTGGCGGCCCAGGGATTCTCTGGTTCGAATCCTGGGTGCGGACATGGCACCGCACATCAGGCCATGCTGAGGCGGTGTCCCACATGCCACAACTAGAAGGACCCACAACTAAAATACAACTATGTACTGAGGGGCCTCGGGGAGAAAAAGGAAAAATGAAACCTTTAAAAATAAATACATAAATAAATTCAAAAAGTGCATAAACCATCAGGATATCACGCAGTCAATTCCCACAAAGTGAACGCTCCCTTGTAACCACCGCCCACCTCAGGGAGGAGAACATGACCAGAACCCTACACCCCTCCCCGGCCTCCCCTTCTTCCCTAAAGGGAAACGGCCTGAGCCTCTGTAACGAGCATGTTGACGGCAGATAGGAGGATGTTTCACAGAAACCCACGGTCTTGGAGGCTCTGAGACAAGTGCAGAAGAACAGGCCTCTGAATGTGAAGAAGTTCTAGAAGGACTTAGCCAGTTTATCGTGCTTATACTTTCCTCTGTATTACGGACAAAAGTGATGCTCGGCAATCATCTACGTCTAAGTAATTTCAAAGGAGCTCTTTCAATAAGGACAGAATAAAAATTCAAAGTCATAAGAAAGCATGGTGTGACAGCTTAAATGGCAGTGTTTAATCTTTCTTCACAGTGAATAAAATAATGATGAATCTCACAACTGATGAGGTCTTAAATTCGATGAAATATGGTGGTTGAGCCGCCTTGCCCAGAGCCAACTGGGAAAGATGTCTATGGCTAATGGGCAGAGGACTCCAGGCCAGGCTCCATCCTACACCTGCATTAACTACTCAGCTGTGAAAGCAAATGACACATTGATGGAGAATGTGGGGGACATAAAGCCAGAGGGATAGTTAACTCAGAGAATGACACCATCAGGACCCAGAAAGATTTTGGCAGACTTCGCTCATGGGTTGACTCTAAAAGACACCTCTTTAAACCCACAATCAGCTATCAGCTCACACCTGTTGGGATGGCTATTAAGAAAAAGACAAGCACTAACAAGTGTTGGCGAGGATGTGGAGAAAAGGGGACCCTCGTGCACTGTTGGTGTGAATGCAAATTAGTGCAGCCACTATGGGAAACAGTACGGAGGTTTCTCAAAACATTAAAAATAGAACTAACATACGATCCAGCAATTCCACTTCTGGGTATTTATCCAAAGGAAATGAAATTACCATCTTGAAGAGAGATATGCACCCCCATATTCATTGCAGCATTATTTACAACACCCGAGACACGGAAACAACCTAAGTGTCTAATGACAAATGAATAGATAAAGAAAATGTGGTTTGTCTCTCTCTCTCTATAGACACACACACGATGGAATATTATTTGGCCATAAAAAAGAAGGAAATTCTGCCATTTGTGACATGAACGAAACTTTGAGGGCATTATGCTGAGTGACAGAAGTCAAAAGAAAGACAAATATTGTATGACCTCACTTATATGTGGAATCTAAAAAAACTGAACTCATAGAAACAGAGATTAAATTTGTGGTTGCCAGAGGCAAAGGGTAGTGGGTGGGGGAAATGGGTGAAGGTGGCGATAAGGTACAAACTTCCAGTCACAAGACGAATGAGTCCTAGGAGTGTAACGTGCAGGATGGTGACGATAGTTAACCATACTGTATTGTGTATTTCAAAGTTGTTAAGAGAGTAGATCTTAAAAGTTCTTGTCACAAGAAAAAAAAAGTTTGTCACTATGTGAGGTGATGGGTGCTAACTACACTTAGTGTGGCCATGATTTCACAATACACACATTTATCAACTCATTATGTGGCACACCTGGAATGTATACAACGTTATATGTCAAAATCTCATACAGCTGGAAAAAGCAAGAAGTAGAAGACACCTCTTGACAGGAAATTCATTCATTCACTGGGCGTTTGCTGAGGGCCTTCCACCTGTCAGGAATGATGTGGGAGCAAAGAGGAGACGACAACACGGTTTCTGCCCTGGAGTAACTCATAAATTACTAATGGGGGAGTCTGACCTTTTGACCCAAAGTCACACAAGTCCAACACTGAGAGGCAGTCCCTCAGTTGACGGCAGGCATGTTATGAGTCATTGTGTCCGACAGGAACAACAACAGAAAACTCTAAACCGACCTTCAGCTGCATTGACAAAACTACACGATCCAAAACAGAGGTGACGGCTTCACTCAACTCTGCTCACCGGTCAGGCCGCTCCTAGAACATTACGTCCACTCCCACACCTTGAAAGGAACGGTCAGCTCTCTTACCGCAGCCATACCGAGTAAACACGGCCACCAGCCCACACGCATTGTTCTCAGTGAGGCCCAAAGCAACCCATTAGGGATCCATCGTTTTGGAAAAATAATCAACTTGCAAAGGCGTTTTAATTGAATAAATACTTGTAAGACATTTTTAAAAAGGAAAGGAAAAAGGGAGACAGCTATTGAGAATCTGGAAAGCATCCAAAAAAATAAAAATGGAAACAGAAGCCCACCTGATAATTGTGTCACATGAACAACGGCGAGCGAGTCGAGGACATTTACCGTGGGGGTTAGTGAGTTGGGAGACGGGACAGCGGTCTTCAAGGCTGTGAGGAGCGGCCACGTGACCGAGGGGTCAGCGTGTTCTGTGCTGCTGCACAGGGAAGAGCCGAGCGCAGGTGGAGTCCCAGCAAGTCAGCGGCCCCCCACACACGGTCCCTCCAGAGTCTCCTCTGCAGGGAAGCCAGAAGCGGAAGGTGGACGTGAGCCTGTGGGCGGGTCACCAGCAGGAGAGGCCGTTGGACCTGTAGGGTTTCACGCCATTCCCATTCTGAGATAACATCCTGTGACACTCCGTGCAGGTTTTTCTCCACTGCGGCTGTGAGAATGGCAATATCTGAGGATAACTCCTATTTTATGACCTCCAGGAAGAAGGAAACGCTAGGCTACAACGTTCACAGTTCACAGGGAAGAGAGATAAGGGACCAGGTGCTGGCTCCTTAATGCAGCGCGAGACTAACTCAGGGGAAGTTCTCCAAGAAGCCTTCCTAAGGAACTGCGACTTCGCTGGGTCAGCTTCAGAACCACGCTGCCAGCTGGCTGCTCAGCGCTGGGCATGGAGCCACGGAGGAGACAGGGTCCTCACCTCATGGAGCACGCAGTCTCGAGATTCCACCTCCCTTGATTCAGCAACCGTGCAGAAGGCTCCAGAACAAACCCCAATTCACCATGTTGCCAGAAAACAGACGGGTCCAGGAGGTCAATAAGCCCCACGTGGACGAGGGAGGAAGGAAAAGGAATGCTACAATTACAGATCAATGCTCCCCAGAGTCTAAGTCTGAAATTTCTTCCTTTTTCAAATTTGTCCTAAATCCCAATGCAAAAGTCACCTCACATAAGCATTTGGGTATGCATTTTGCACTTCCTCATGTTTAATTCACTGCAGATTAATTCCTCAGTGAACTGGTGAGTCCTCTTGTTTAAGGCGACAAGGAGGAATTTGGTGACAGGTGTTTTCCATTAATTTTCACCAGTAACTGAGTTGGTTCCACTCTAACCAAATGTTAGAATTTACTGTAGGGCACGTCTCCCCCTGCGAGAGCAGCTGCACCTCTGCAATAAAAGAAGGACACAGCTGACAATTCAGGGACAGCTGGATTCAATTTGGATATAGACTGACTTGGCCTTCCATCCTTTTGGGTAATTTGGCAAAATAAATGCATATTGCCCCAACCCATGGGATGCAGACAGCCACACTTTAATTACTGGATTGGGAGAGGCTCCTTAAAAAATTTGGGGCTTGGGTCTTTTCCAAAGAACCCCAAGGAGGTTAGGGACGGAAAGGAACAAACGTCCATTCTCTTTGGGCTTGGTGCTTTGCTGCCGTTGGCCCAATGAAGGGCTGAAGCAAAGATCTGTACACGCTGGACATCTGGGTCTCTGCAGGAGAGGAGGCTCTGGGCAAATCTTCCTGGACACAGGGACCACCTGGCAGGCTGCGGTAAGCGCTCTGCTTAAAAACCACTAGTGTCCTTCACCACTTAGCCATGACATCATCATCCTGGCTGGTGGTCAAGGCATTCTGCAATCTGGAGCTGGTCAGTGCTGCCCACACGGCTCTCCAGTGGCCACAGCTCTCCAATGGGGACACTGCCACTATTCAAATGCAGCCTCACATAAGCATTTGGTGGCTGGTTTCTTCAAGATGGAAGTTCTGCTTTAATCAGGCTAGCCTCATCTCTCTCTCTCTCTCTCTCTCTCCTGCACACACATACACACACACACACTCTATGTCTTTGCTAATGCTTTCTTCATTTCCTTATATACGCTACCCACCTCCTTCTGGTTAAATCTCTTGGCACATCCAAAACCTGCTCTTCAACATGAAGAAATCTGAAAATTGTTATTGTGTTATGCTTGTGTTTTCTCTAAGGCACCTGAGGTCTTCTGAAATGCTCCCTAATGTTGAAACACGTTTAACAATATTTTGAGAATCTATTTATTTAACTTATCCCAAGGAAACAACCTAAAACATGCCAAAAAACCTATACGTAGCATTATTTGTAACAGCAAAAAAGTCAAGATAACCTAAACGCTCAACCACAAGAAAATTATGTAAATTCTGTAACATTAATTCTGACACTTCATTGAACTATTACAGAGAGCAATAATTACAACACAGCACCACGAAAATGCTCGTGTGAAATGAAAATGAAATGAAAAATGAAAAACCAAGATGTCAAATTATACTCTCGCAGTTTACAACAATGTAAAAACAATATAGAACAATACCACAGCTATCCTGTCTGCCCTACAGTGTTGCTATAAGGATCAAATGAGATAACAAAGAAAAAAAAAATCAAATGGCTAAAGCGTCACACAAATTTTAAATGATATTAATATTAGGCATGCGAAAAATGTTCAGTGTATGAATCAAGAGGCCAACGGAAACCTGAAAGCCCATATCAGAGGTTCTGGAAAAACGGACCACCTCCAAGTCCTCTTTACAGCGTTCAGACGGTCTTCGTTTTCATCAGTGACAACATGTGTAGGTGCACATTCAGTGATAACCCGTATTAACAGCCCACTCATTCAGAAAGTGCTTTAGCAAGGCAAGAGTTATTCCTGCAATAAAGGCTTTGCTCTATTTGAGGGAGTGAGTGAAAAAGAGAGAGTGAGCAAGATCTACTTTGAGAGTTGAACTTCTTCATCAAGCTCGGATCAGATTCTGCAGCATGAGGCTATACACATGGGTGACGGCCTGGACACAAACACTCGATATCCCAGATTGCAGACTCTTCAGTCTCAGAGAAATCTTTCTCCACTTCTCCAGGTGTATTTTCCTAATATTCCCAGGGGAGAGGAATAAAGGTCACTGGCTTACAGACAAACCATTCACTCCAACTGGCAGCCCGAGCCGGTGCTGAGGGACTCCCTTCTCACTCCGCAAGGGCAGATACGTAAAGATGGGAATAAGGAAATTCCAAGGGAGAGGGTTCCATGAGTTCTTTATGTGACCCCACACATCAGGTATTTCTGTTAATATCTATCTAATCCTTCAACCTTGACTTTCCTCTTTCCCCATACAAACCACAATTTTCCTGCACATCCTGACTTCCTCATTTCTTCGCTTAATCCAGATTTCTTTGTTGAATGCCTCTAAAACACATCTTCTGGTTTCCTTACAGTTCTGAGCAAGATGGAGTGCACACACCCTGCCCTGTCTCCCCCACTGAATGTGGCTATAAACCCTGGACGGAGCAAACAGAGCAGCTGTTTGAGGTCTCTGAAACGTAAACAGCAGCAGGTAGATGAGGGAAGATGACCAGAATTTGACGCACCAGCAAACTGGTGGTGAGTTTGCCATCTCCCCATTCCAGGAGCCACAGCCTGGACTGGATACAACCCGGTACCCAGAAGCGAGCATCCGTGTAGACAGCAGAGCTCCAGGAGAAGCCAGTGAGTCCTGGCTTGTGGAGCAGGAAAGGAGTCACCTAGTTCTTAGAGATAGTGGGCCAAAGCCCAAGTTTTTTCCTTTTTTGATGCCTTTGTTGTCTCAGCTCTCTCAGGCCCCAACCCCCCCGCAATCCCACAGCAGCCCTCACAGCAGCAGCAGAGGGGTCCACAGATGCCTAAAACTGAGGGAGGGAAACTTCTCTTCCAATTGGAGGAGCTGTGGTCCGAAAAGGGTGAAAAACCCACTGGATTTCTCTCTCTCAGTCCTCCTCTTGCTTAGTCAGGGATGTGAGCTAAGTCACAGGAAGAGTGTAACAGAGCAGGAGAAACAAAGCCCCCCGTCGTCCAGCTGAAGGATCAAAGAGATGCGGCCTTAGGAACCAGAAAGGATCAGGAACATTGCAGAGAGGGAGGAGCTCAGGAAAACAACCCCATAAAGCTGGCTATGAGTTCCTGGGCTCAGCCCTGAGCTGAGTATGTGTAGATCTAACTCTAAACAGCATACCATAGGCTTTGAAGTTCAGGACAGACCACCGGTCACGTCCCACACTGGCTGCGGAATGGCACACTTGGGCAGCTCTGAAGAGCAATGCAAAGGTTCTGATGCTGAAACCCACAGAAGGCTGGCAGGGACTTAGAATCTGAACTCAGATTGGTTGAGTCTCATAACATAATATTCAAGATCAATCCAACAAAATCCAGCAAAATATTCAAGATCAACCCAAAATTACCCAACGCACAAAGAACCAGGAAAATCCTAATCAATAAAAGATAATCAATAGATGGCAGTGCCAAGATGACACAGCTTTTGGAATTAGCTAAGACTTCAAAGCAGTTATAAAAAATACTCCAAGAAGTAACGGAGAACATTCTTGAAATGAAGGGAAAGATGGAAAGTCATGACAAAGAAACAGAAGATAGAAAGAAGAGTCAAATGGATATTTTAGAACTGAAAAACAAAATAACTGAAATTTTAAAAACCACTGCATAGGCTCAATAGTAGAATGAATACGACAGAGGAAAGGGTCAGTGAACATGAAGACAGATCAATAAAAAGGATCTAATCTGAACAAAAGAGAGAAAAAAGGTTTTTAAAAAATGAACAGAGCCTTAGGGATCTGTGGGACAATACTAAAGGATCTAACATCTGTGTCATTAGAGTCCCAGAAGGAGAGAAAGAAGGCAGTGCAAAAAATTGGAAGAAATAATGACTGAAACTCCCCAAAGTGGTGAAGGACATAAACCTATAGATTTGAGAAGCTTAGTGAATACAAAAAAGGATGAATCCAAAGAAATCCACACACACCACAGTGAAACTGCTGAAAACTAAACACAAAGAACAAATCTTGAAAATAACCAGAGAAAAATGAGGCATCACTCACAGGGGAAGAAGGAGTCAAGTGACTGTAGATTTCTCAACAAACACTGTGGCAGCCAGGAGGAAGTGAAATAACACTTTTAAGTGTGAAAGAAAAGACCTGCTAGTCTAGAATTCCATATCCAGCAAAAAAATCCTTCAGAAATGAAGGTGAAGGGAAAATAGCCTCAAGAGAATTTGCTACCAAAAGACCACCCGATAAGAAGTTATAAAGAAACTTCTTTAGACAGAAGGGAAATAATTCCAGGAGGAAAACATGGAATGTCAGGAGGGAAGGAAATACAAAAGAAAAGGAAAAAAATCTGGGTAAACATAATAGATTATTCTCCTCCTCTTGAGTCCTTTAAAATATGTTTGACAGTTGAAGCAAAAACTACAACATTGGCTGATGAGATTTTCAACGTAAATAGATATAATACCCATGAACTACAACTTAAAGGAGAGAGAATAAAGGGACTTCTACAATGATAAGGTTTCCACTTTCCACTTGAAGTGGTAAATTACTGATTCTAAGCAGACTGTGAAAAGTTTAAGTGTGCACATTGTAGTCGCTAGAGCAAATACTAAAAAATACAACAAAAACAAGCACAAACTACATAAAGTAAAAAACTTAATAAATGAAAATGGAATGCTGAAACATTCAAATAATCCTGAAGAATACAGGAAAAGGGACACAGAGGAAAGAAAAATAGAGGGAACAAACAGAAAACAAAAAAAATAGAATGACAGACCTAAATCCAAATATATTAATAATTATATTAGATGTAAATTATGTAAACACACCAATAAAATGACAGAGATCATATGAATGGATAAAAAGACATGACCTAACTATAAGTTGTCCACAAAAAACTCACTTGAAATATAGTCATATAGTTAGATTAACAATAAAGGATAGAGAAAGGACGTACCATGCGACACAAATCAAAAGAAAGCTGGAGAGGCTATATTAATATCAGATAAGGCATACATCAGAGCTAAGAAGATTACAAGGGATAAAAAGGAACATTACATAATGATAAAAGTGCCAACTCTTCAAGAAAATATAAGAATCCTAAATATGCAGGTACTTAACAAGAGAGTTTCAAAGTACATGAAGCAAAAACCGAAAGGAGAAAGAGAGAAATCCACAGTTATAGCTGGAGACTTTAAGACTCCTGTCTTGTAATCCAGAGAGCTAACAGACAAAGTCAGCAAGGATGGAGAAGAGAATCAGCACCGTCTACCAACTGGATCTCACTGACATTTACGGAACATTCGCCCCAACAACAGCAGAGTAAACATTCTTCTCAAGTTCACCAAGACAGTCCACAGCATCGGTCGTAAAACAAACCTTAGAAACTCTAAAACAATTGAAGTCACATAAAGAATGTTCTCTGACCATAATGGCGTTAGACTAGAAATCAATAACAGGAGCATAACAGGAAAATCTCCAAACATTCGGAAATCAAACAACACACTTCCACGTCATCCGTTGGTCAAAAAGGAAGTCTCAAGGAAGATCAGAAAACATAGTGACCTGAAGGAAAATGAAAATACAACATATTAAAACCAGTGAGATGCAGCTACACCAGTGCTTGGAGAGAGTTACAGCATGAAATGCTTACACCAGAAAAGAAGAAAGGTCTCAAACCAATAATTTAAGCTTCCACCTTAAAAACTAGAAGAAGGAATCAATGAAAAAAGGGAGAAGACACAAATAAGCGATGTCAGGAATGTAAGACGGGTTATCAGTAGACATCCTGCAGACATTAAAAGGACGATCAGAGCAAACTAGAGACAGCTCTACGCACACAAAGCCAACCACTGAGATGAAACGGAACAATTCCTTGAAAATCACAAATTACCTAAAGTCACCCGAGGTGAAATGGACGACCTAAATAGTCCTATAACTATTAAAGAAATTAAATTGATAGTATAAAACCTTCCAAAAAGGAAATCTCCAGACCCAGATGGTATCACTGGCAAATTCTACCAAACATTTAAAATAGAAACAATACCAATTCTACACAATCTCTTCCTGAAAATTCAACAGGAGGTGACATTTTCCAATTCATCTTATGAAGCAAGTATTACTCTGTCCCAAATCAGAAAAAGACAGTAGGAGAAAACGACACACCCATATCTTCCACGAATATGGATGCAAAGATTTTAATATTCGAAAATCAAAGACAGCAGTATAGAAAAAGAATAATACACCATGGGTGGAGTTGATCTTGGGAATGTGATGCAAAAATGAAACAATGTAATCCATTGTACTGACAGTCTAAAGAAAAACCATATGATCACATCAACTGACAACGACAACAAAAAGCATTTGACAAATTCAATCCCCATTCACGATAAAAGCTCTCAGACACTAGGAACAGGGGGAACTTCCTCAACCTGATAAAGAGCATCTATATACACTCCGCGTCTAACGTCAGATTTAATGGTGAAAGACGGAAGGCTTTCCCTATGAGACCAGGAACAAGGCAAGGACATCCACCCTCATCTCTCCTGTTCAGCTCAGTGGTGGAAGTCCTACTTAGAGCAATGAGGCAAGAGGAAGATATTAAAAGGCATCAGAAAAAATATTGGAGAGGAGAAAATAAACCTGTCTCTATTCACAGATGACGTATTGTCTGAGTGTACAATCCTAAGGAATCTTTAAAAAAAAATCTCTAGAACTAACAGGTGACTTTAGCAAGGCTGCAAGATACAAAGTTAACACAAAATCATGTTTCTATGAACTAGCAAGGAACATCTGGAAAACGAAGTAAAAAACTGAACAGCATTTACAATAACTTGAAGAAGTGAATACTCGGGCATCAATCTCACAGAACATGTACAGTATTTGTATGCTGAAGACTCCAAAACAGCGATGAAAGAAACCAAAGGAGACTTAGTAAGGAGAGACATTCCGCGTCCGAGGAGCGGAAGACCCAACACAGTAAGACGCCGATTCTCCCCGGATTCATCTACAGACATCATGCAAGTCCTATCCCCGTGGGACTTTCTCATAGATATAAACAAGCGTACTCTAAAACTTATACAGGACGACAAAGAAACTACAACAGCTAAACTGATTTTGAAAGAGAAGAATAGAGTTGGAGGAATCGTACTTTCTGATTTTAAGACTTACGATAATAGCTGTGGGAATCAAGACAGGGTGACACAGGAGGGTGGGAGACACACAGATCAATGAAACAGAACAGAGTCCAGAAATAGCCCCGCACAAGTACGGCCAATGGATTTTTGACAAAGATCCAAAAGCAGTTCAATGGGGCAATGACAGTCATTTCAACAACAAATGGTGCTGAAACAACTGGACATCCATGGGCAGATAGTGAAAAGGAACCCTGACCTAAACCCCACGCCTTATACAAAAATTAACTCAAATGGATCACATACCAACGATACAATATAAAACTATAAAACTTTTAGAACAAAGCAAGGCAAAAAGTTCTTAGACGTGACAATGAAAACACTACTCCTAAAAGAAAAAGTTGATATCCTGAGGGTCCCGCCCCACATCCTT